AGCAGGGTTCTCTGGTGACCTTTGCTGGCTGATGAGCTCCAGAGGGAGCTGTGGCTTGCCTTTTTGCTCAGAGAAGGGATAAACCTGTGGTTCCACGAATCCCTCTTTCTCCCCTTCTCTTCACTCCAACCCTTCATAAGGAAACTCAGTTTTTATTAGCTTTCCTTTTCTAAGAGTTGCTTATAAAGCAGTCCTATGAAAATAAATGGAGTAAAATGAGACCCAGTCTATTTTCTTTATTATTTTCGTAAAGATGTAGTAGAAATCAGTGTGAATGCACCTTTAAAAGCCTCAGGAACAGGAGTGATATCCCAGCACTGTCACAGCAGCGCGTTTTCTCAAAAGGGAATGTAAAACCTCATTCCAACGGCTTTTCTTTAGTATTAACGCTGGGCATGTTTGTTTGATGCAAAGTTGATCCAGAAATATATTTTATTTTGAGGTACTGCCAGCATTTGCCTCTTTCCACTCAACAAGACTGATTATACTGAAAACAATGCATAGCAACTGAGGATACAAGGTTGTACAATTGCTGAGGCATAACCATACATTTCACTGTCAGCTCTGACACCCGCTGTCCTGGGTGTGGGTGTCTGGTTTGCATAATCACCAGGCTGTTGTTTATCAGTAAACATACCAGGCAAAGCCTTATATTTCAGCTGGCAACCAATCAGACCTGGTTGATTTACACATTGTGTTTTGAGATGACGTTTATCTATATACAAAAAAAATACAAACTTTCAAGCTGAATGCCTTTCTCCCAACGCTGAGGAGGCAGAGTAAGCTCAAATGGCAAAGGCGTGGTTCTGCCGCTCTGTCCTGAGCATTTTTGGCTGTCAAGCAGAGTATTAGAAATACCAAACTCTACAGGGATGGAAGTGAAAATCCTAAGGCATGTTGCTAAAATAAACCAATATCATATTTGAGTTCAGTTTAGAAATAACCACTTATTGGCTGTCATGGCTTTTAATTTTAATTATCTCTTTCTGTGCTGGCCCTGGCTGGGGTAGAGTTAATTTTTTTCACAGTAGCTGTTGTGGGGCTGTGGTTTGGATTTGTGCTGTAAACTGTGTTGACAACCCAGGGATGTTTTTGTTACTGCTGAGCAGTGCTGACACAGAGTCAAGGCCTTTTCTGCTCCTCAGCGAGGAGGCTGGGGTGCACAAGGAGTTGGGAGGGGACACAGCCAGGACAGATGACCCAAGGGATGTCCCAGACCATATGGTGTCATGGTCAGCATATAAAGCTTGGGGAAGAAGAAGGGGGGGAGGGGGCATTGGGAGTGATGGCATTTGTCTTCCCAAGTAACCATTACGGATGATGGAGCCCTGCTTTCCTGGGGATGGCTGAACACCTGCCTGCCCCTGGGAAGTGGTGAATGAATTCCTTGTTTTGCTTTGCTCGTGCGTGTGGCTTTTGCTTTGCCTATTAAACTGCCTTTATCTCAACCCATGAGCTTTCTCACTTTTATGCTTCTGACTCTCTCCCCCATCCCGCTAAGGGAGAGTGAACGAGCAGCTGTGTGCTGCTCACTTGTCGGCTGGGGTTAAACCACAATACATTCAATTGAGAATCTGAAACTGCCAAAAGCAAACAGAAGCTTTTGTTTCTTTGTCCATGCAGGTGAGAGATTAAGAAGGAAAGAGGAATGTCTGGAAACAGTGCCAAAATATCCAAAGAGTAAGTGACCAAAAAAACTGATTAGACTTATTTTTGTCTTTGTGTGTTAACACTCTTCCTACCTAAAAATAGCCTTCATAAATCTGGTATTATGACAAATACGCAATTTGTTTGCTCTGTTATTTCAATTATGGATATTAAGGTGCCTTTTTATGATATTTGTTAAGACGAAAGAAGTACATATGCACGTTAATTACTGGAGAAACGGACACCCACAAGTATTGTTATTTTGTTGACTCATCAGATGGACAAATGTCTGTCCCAGTTGACTGGCCACTACTTACATCTGAGTTGCAAGACACTTGGGTTCACACATTAGGAACAGCCCTAATGTGTAAATTATCTCCAGGATGGCATCCAAGTGCTTTTGGTTTTCCTGACTTCATGTAGCTCCATCGAAGGAGTTATTCAGAAGAGTATTATGGTACCATGAGACTGGAAACTGAGGCATCCTTACTGTAATCAGGGCTGTGTATGGCAGGGAATTTTCCCCATGCTCTGAGTCCATGTCAGAGCATATTAAAGCTGAAATCTAAGTGTTAACTGATGCAATTCATATCATTGTTAGTAGGTTTCAGAGATAAATGTGCAAAAACTGTACTGCTGTGTATAAACAATGACAAAATTGAAAAGGCTGCCAACTGTAAGCATGGACTGCAAGTTCAGAAAGGTAGTATTTTCGTTCGTATCATTCTTTCTGAAAAGACTATTTCTCAGCATTTATGGTTCATGGGAAATTTCCCAAACCCACAAATATTTTCCCAAACTAAAGCTCAAGAATATGAGGCTGCTCTGCATGTAATACATGGGTGGGAAAATTCTTCAGACTTGTCTTTCTTAAGTTTACTCACTCTGTCTTGATAGGTTTTATTGGGCAGGTAATAAATCCTCCCTAAACTCCAGAGATTAGAGTTTCAGTGTAAGTTCGTAGTAAAGCTGATCTGATGTCAGAGGTTTTTGAATCTGTACTAGAAGTGTAAAAGGACTTAAGAACACTGAAGACTCATATTCAGAGCGTGAAGAACAATTAAAAATATAAAACCCCTCACAAGGGATTGTTGTTCTCAGAATTGTCGCATCCTTCATTTTGCTTAAGCCAGCTGTACATTTCTCAGTGTGGGGTAATCTGGAAGCAACAAGTTTGACACCACTGAGCTATGATTCACCTCTGCAGTTCCTCTGAAAATATGGTATGTTGTCCTGGTGATTTGCAAATGGTAGCTGTTGCAGTAGTAAACTTCCAGTAAGCTTTCCAAAAGTAAAGTTTTGCTATTGTCATGTATGTACTTCTTTTCCTTACTCTTCATGTAAGGATATTACAACTCTATGCAAGCTGTAATATCCTGTGCAACACAGGGCACAGCTGGCTCATGTGAGGTCCTTAAAGGCAAAGAGAAAGGTGCTCAGATCCAGGGAAAATCCTCACTGCAAAGTAGAAATCTACTGGGTTTTTTTCTGATTCTTTCCTTGACATACCATTCCCAGGAAGGTTAACTGGACCACGGCACAGATTGTCTCCCAGTTGGGTTTCTAAGCACTCCAGCACTTGGCCCATGGGGATCTCTTACCTCTACAGAGTAAATGACCCAAGTGACCACAGGATTATGGAGATTAAATTGATAAATGTATAAATACATTTATATACTGCTAGTGACACTGCAAATCATAGAATCACAGCATGGTTTGGGTTGGAAGGGACCTTAAAGACCATCTAGTTCCAGCCCCCGTGCCATGGGGTTGGAATGAGACAAAATGAGCTACATGACATACCAGCTCTTTTTGGAACATAGAATGGATATTGTGGTACTTTTAACATATTTTATTTAAGAAAAAGGAGAAAGGAACTATTTCATATAATGATGATATGATATACAGCTCTAATAGCAACTGTTTGCTATGAAGAGCCTGTGAATAACCTATTTCTCTGTATGATTCTATGATACCTCCCCCATGTGCAGTTGATTGTAAAAAGAAAAAAGAAACATTACTCAAAATTTTTTGCCTAGTCAGGGGCTAGTAAGAGTAAGAAAATGGTAGTATTTGCCTGCTACTTCATCATATTTCTCTTCATTCATCACAGACACAGGTCCTTTCTTTAGGTTTTTATAACTCTAGGCTAAATAAAACAGGCTATATACTGGTCATTCAGGTAGAATGGAGACTGAGATAGGACAGAACAAAAATATCATCATATCAGAAAGTTGGGTTTTTTTTTTTTTTTCCAATATACCAAGATGGGCAACAAAACATCACCAGTTTTTTGAAAGTGGAAAGAAACATGCTGTAGGTCAGGAGCAGATGGAGCATTTAGGGGAGTGCTTTGCTAGACTGCAGTCGAGATCACCTCTTTTTCCTTTGATCTGTCTGGAGATGTGGTAGTATGTTTAAAGCTGGAAACAGCACTTTTCTAATGTTCTCTAACCTCAAAAACAAGATGCCAAACATAAGATTTTTTTTCCTCCTTTCTTCCCTCCAGCTTGTTCCTGCCAGAACAGACTATTCAATTGTGTACTTTGCAGCCAGGCAGAACTGTGCATCGTGATTCTCTCTGCTGAAGGAGGGGAGAGCTGTAGTACGGGGATTGAGAGGGCTTTTGTTGCTGGAAGGAATTTTTTACTAGCTTTTTTTCTCAGTGTGTGAGAGACATAAAGTGCTCTGGAAATGTACAGATTCTTTCTGCCAAGAATGGTTGTTTTCACAGCTCCCCTTTTGCCAATTTCAAACTGGTTAAGAAATAATAATAAAAAAAAAAGCTTTCACATACATATCCTAAACTCCCTGGGTGACAGATATTATTGAGCAATAGAGTCTGTAAAAGTGCCAAAATAACCTATTTCCCTTGAAGAAGAGAAGAATTGAATAGGAATATCAGTCCTAAGGTCAAGAGGGAGTTTTCAGTGACAAGAACAAAGGCAAGGTTGAACCGTTATGAACCAACTGTCTTAATTAAGATAGAAGGATGATGTTCTAATATTTTTAAGGATCTCAGCTGCTCTGCCTTTGGCTTTAATTTTTTCCCCAAAAATCATTAATGCAAAATAATTAATTCATCTCCAAATACGGGTGTTACTCACTCTGAATGCATGAAATATTTAGAGGGGATTCTAGCAAAACATTCTATTTCTAACATTGACTTGACTTAATGCTGTTCTAATTAACAGGTTGGTTTTAGACCCAACGTAGTGCTATGTGTGCTCTGAGAGAAATGTAGATGATCACGGCATAAATCCAGATGAAATATTCTATTGAATATGCACAAAAGGGAGAAAAACTGTTTATGAGTCAGACCATTGGAAAGCAAAGGGAATTTTGTAACTTACTTTTCTGACACCTTCTTCCAGCATAGCCCTCGGTACAAGAGCACACGTTGGTTCGAACACAGTGGCCACCGTTTTTACAAGGGGGAATGCAAACAGCTAGGGAAGAAAAGAAAAGGTTTTGTGCACCAAAATCGCCCAGGGCATCAACATTGCCTAAATACAGGCTCCTTATTTAGGTGCTTGTGTTGGGAGACTAGTCTGGAGAGGCTTTTTCTTTAGCTGGGGTAGAGAAGGTATTTCTCCAAAGGGCGATTTGCATGGATACCTAGCTGCAGATCCTGGTTCTCTTGTTTGTTGAAGGAACATGGGACATGACTACCAGCACCTGTGAGTCTCTTAGATACCTGCAGTTAAGTCATGGGAACGCTTCTGACAATCTCTTAGGTTTTGAACTCTCTAGTTTTGGCACTATTTCTTTCCCCTTTCTCAGTGAAACAGAAGGAAGGGCTTTGCTTTTCTTCAGCATCCATCTACCCTCTCCCCATATCCCACAAATGTGGACATTTATTTTCAAGTTTCAACTCTGGTAAAACATAAAACTTAAGGATAAAATTTCCAAATGTTGAAAATCACCTTCCACGCTGAATCTCAAGAGAAAGATCATCAAATTACAGAGCTTGTATCCTTTTCACTCTCTCCTTCACCCTCAACATCACAAAAACAAAGAGCTTCCAGCAAGCTCCATTTGCAATTACATTTTTGTGCGTGAATCATTCATTTGCAAAAATATGCATTGGGGTTGCATACATCCAGGAACTCCAGGGAAACAAAAGAGAGAGAGAGAGAAGTTCTTTTAATATTGAACTAGTTCAGGTTTGGTAATAAAAGTATATTTATATTCCCAGATTCAGGAGGGGTTATTGGAGATCAAAAAAGTGAAAAAAAAGTGGTATAAGCACAGGAGACTTCCAGCTATTTGAGCCCTAAACACAGGTTCATCTCTCATGTCTATTTTATCTGGGCTAATGAGTAGGTAAAATATTCACTAATTTGACTTCTGCATCACAAAGTGAGTAAGAAGCCCAAGGTACTGTTAGCCTCAGTTAGGGCTCTCCACTTTAGGACAGGGATTCAAAATCAGCTCTTGCTCTACGTCAGGCAGAATGATATCTGATTGGACCTTTGAGCAGAGAGAAGTCCTGTACAAGTCTCCAATCCACTACACTCGAGGATGGTCAAGTAGGTGGTGATGTGAGCGCTATTTGAAGAGAAATTATCATCTGGCTCTGAAACACACTTTAGTACATACTATAGAGTATGCAAAATGAACAAAATAGAGTCATGCTTTAACATTTAATTGAATAGTTGCTAATTAGTGATATCACTGCCTTCAGATAGTTTTAGATTGTTTAGTTATCATTAATGCCATCATAAATAAGTGCTTACTAATTCGCAATACCATTAAGAACAGTATAATGTGGATTAATGGCAGACTATAACATCAAAGGAGCACGCAGGGAGTTATGACAAGGAAAATCTCTGGATATACTTCATGTGGGGGCAGGTAATGATATAGCTGCTGTTTATATTTTAAACCTGGGTCCTTTATCAAGATGATAAATAGAACATTCTTACCTCTCTGGCACTGTGGCCCATAGAAACCGTGAGGGCACGTACACGTATTTGGCCGTACACAGACCCCTCCATTCAAACACACAGGATTGCAGACAGCTGTATGTGAATAGGAGATAACTCTATGAATCTCTTACAATTTTGAATTTTTTAGAGTAGCGACCCTTTTGCTGCTGCACATATCATTTGAATAAACACTTCTAGTAATTTTGTGATAAATTTCACACGGTCCTTGCTGGTCAGTTGTGCTGCAGCATTTATTCATTGTCGACACAGTGGGAGCGTTTCAGTGGTGTTTTAGCATAGCTTGGGGGATGAAATGAAATATAATTTAATAGTTTATTTCGGATGTCTTCCTTTGATTTGCACAGTTCATTTGCTTCCACTCTGGTATCCTCACCAAACACAATCCCAAGGTAGTAAAATGTAGTCACATCATATACAGCCTGGATAACCTGGAGATGAGATATTAACCATTTGCTCCTTTGTCTGAGCTCAGCAGAGCATCGTGGCGTTCCCGTGAAGTTGAATAGGTATGCACCGCAAAACTTCCATTTGTTCTGCCTCATTTAAATGCCAGTTCCCACAACATATTGGCTCATGCATCACCAGCAAAGCCACTGGCTGAGCTCCCTTTGCCTCTTTATTTATCTGTTACTACTGGAGATGATATGAGAGGCACTAGGAATTAAAAGCTGTCTTGCATATTTCTATGCGGCAAGTACCTGACTGTTGGAAAAAAAAGTATTAGAATTGCAAATTAGTTTAGTTGAGAAGTCACTGTGCGAGGAATAAGGAATCTGATAAAGTTTTCATTGTAAAGCAGAGCGACACTTTAAAACAGTCTTTTTCCTTCTATTCCCTTTGTCTTTCAGTATCTTGCAGAATGGTCCATTAAATAAATTAAATACATTTAAGTTCAAATAAATTAAGGGTCACTAAAATGTTTCAGATGAACCCTAGGAGAAATAAAATGACAATTTGTAAAGAAAAAAAAGTGAAATTGTAGTCAGATGAGAGGCTTTTCTCACTTAGCAGCAGTCAGTTATGAAGTCAAAATGGACTTCATTCGTTGCTAATGGCGAATTTGGATTAGTCGCCTCATTGTCCTAGTTAGTTCACAGGTGTCCACACTCTGTCAGCATTTATATTTCAGTGTATACGGTCTCAAAGGTATGCTTTTTTGTTTCTGTATCTGTGTTCATCCAGAGACTCCTATCATATCACCTGAGGGAGGAAACCCCAACATTATCCACAAAATCCTCTTTGTAGTGCACACAAAACCGTGCCGGAGAGGTGAGCCTGATAGTCCTTCACCGAAGGAATTATCAGACAAACAAACCCTGTTGCTGTTTTTCTGGGTTGGAAATTACTGCTGCTGTCGCTTATTGTCCTCTTGGAATATTCCTGTTTAAAGGCACCCCAAATTAAATTTATAGGAGTCAAGGAGGGTAATATCCAGTAGGAAAAAGAGGAGATAGTGAGAACCAGAATAGCTAGTGGCGATCCCCGTCATTTACTGTGGATCTTAGCTGGGTTAATTTATGTGTCCTCAATAGGTCTGTCATTTCAACACTTACAGGAAGAGCAATCTCTGGGAGATAGAGGTTAAAATGGCATCTCTCACCTTCCAGGAAAGGTAATGTAGGCTGAAGGTGTCAGTCATTTAATATTCACTATGGCAAAGGCAGACTGCCTCTGTAGCCTTGAGGTTTGGCACTGATTGAGGTACACCTTGTGCTTGCTCCTTTTAATATTTCACTATTTTGCATGCCTTGTCCCAGGTGAGTGCTGTAGTTACTGTGCCTTTGGAGGAAAAATATGTACTCCAGCTTTCAGTGCTTAAGCCCTAAGAAGGTCTGGGCTGTACCTATTCAAAACCAGGTTCAAATCTATGAGTCCTGACTAGAAATAGTACCTGGGTTCAATCCTTGCTTGTTGTGTACCGATGGGTAGAGGTGACTTTTCCCTGTGGATACCTTTGTAGGTACCCTGCAAGCATGAAAGGCAGGAGGAGCAGTGTGAATTCTGGCAGCAGCAGGATGTTTAACGTGAGGGGTGAATGGGTATGTTCTCCTTACAGACTGGCTTTTGTTCTGTCTCGTAGAGTCACAAGGCATCTTCTGGAATGGTGAAACTGATTCCAAGAACTGGCTACAAAAATCTGAGTAGCCAGTCTGTTTCTGATAGCTTACCCTTCTAGGTTCATCTTTCCGCCTCAGACTGTGCAGTGTTCGAAGTGTGTATGGAGTTGCTGACTTAGCACCAGGAGTCATATTTGCTTGCTTGTGTTCTTACCCTAACTTACACTGGCCTCCTTCCATCCCTGTCCCCATAAACTGTACTTTTACATTCAAATTTAACTTCATACCATTAAAAACCACCAAAAGCCAAACCATTGTTCTTTCTGCCATGCCACCATGCCTTGAGAGAAACGTGTAGGGTTAAAAGCAGTGAAAACTGGAAGTCTCACAGATCATGACCAGTGCAGATGGTTGCATTGCCCTTGTCTCTGCCCCTGAGAGTGTGGGGTAGGACTCATTGCTTGGGGTCCGTGAACAAGACCAACAAAGAGTGAGGTTATGTCCGTGGCAGCTGAGACTGTAAATCAACCTACATCCAAAGTCTCCAGTGAGAATTATTCTCCTTTGCAGAAGTTACCAAGCACCTAGAAAGGTTGTAACTTCTGAAATAGTGAATGGCTTTATTTTTGTTTTCGTACATGCTGAGAAGAAACTCCAGAATCACACAAGCTTAAAACAAGCTGCCAAAATGTTTTGTTTATGTTTTTTCTCTGTGTGATCCTGAGATTTAGATAAACATCTAAACTTATGAATACTTATCTAAACTCAAAGCCTTCCAAGGTTCTGCCTTTTACTAGGTCTTCTGTTCTTACATACGAATTCTTTAAGCAATTCCCACTCTGACCCTTGAACTGAGGAAATCACCTTGATTTCAGGCATCAAAAGAAATGAGACCAGTCATTCCTAACCACTTACCCGTTTCACAAGAAGGGCTGCTCCATCCATGTCTGCATTTGCACTGGTCTGGTGACACACAGACCCCACCATTGTGACAGTGTCTGTTACACACCACTGGAAAATATGCAAAGGATCAAAATCTCCTATTGATAACACTGATGTAGATCCTAAAGCTGCTCTACCAGAGAAAGTAACTACTGGGATTAGTCCAAGAGGTAAACCGAGGGATGAATCTATCCTTTTCCTTGTTTTTCTTTCCCTTTTCTACCCAGAAGTCTTGCGTTTTTTCATCAGAAGTCTTTCATCTAAAAATTTGCTTTTTAAGTATTCCAGATACCCTGGTTTAGAGATAAATTTATATTCTTGTCAAGGGCAACCTGATATTTAAATAAGCAGTGAGGACTGTAATAATGAAGCTGCACATGTTTCACCATTCAGCTAATATAGAAGGGTTTGAAGGCTGATTTTTTCCACAGATGTTCTATATATTGAATGTCTTCTACCACTTGTTGTACACAATAACATGGCTCCTAGTAAGTATGGTTGTCTGCATTCTCAAAATTAATATTACTACATTCGCTCACACAACCTTGAATTTCAGATATGTTACTATAAATAACATGCAGGTTTTTGCTTGTTGGTTTGTTTTGGGGTTGGGTTTTTCTTTTTTCTTAGAAGCACTTTTATGTAGAAAATGTTGAGATAGATGTGCATAACTTTGCATAATACAACTATGCTGCTGGTAAATATATGCTCTGAAGTAGTTTAGCTACTGTGTTACTTCAGCATATTGTACTTTGTTTTCCTTGCTTTATTAAATCGTCATTTTGAGGGAAAATATAAAAAATTATAAAAGCTTTTTTATCTTCTAATTTTCATAAAATTCAAACATGTAACAAGGAGAAAAACTTGAAAGAGTTCATACATACTTGTTTCACATCGAGGACCAACAAATCCATAAGCACAAGAACAAGTATTCTGAGATAGACAAGTTCCTCCATGCTCACATGGTGGATCACACTGCACTGTAAGAACAAAACGTGGAAAAAAAACCCAGTTTAAAAACTACATTCCATGTGGTTGCGAGCACAGCACTTGTTACTACTTTCCCCATACCGTTTTATTAATCCAACAAGTAATTTGGCTGCTGAGGAAAACACGGCAGAATAAAAGTAAGTATCACATTAGTAATACAGCACTGACTGATGAGTAGCTATATAATGTCTGTAAGGGAATGGCATAATCGTATTTAACTCCTGAGCATGCACATTTTTAAGTATGTATTTTTGAAGTGTAAGGATGGATCAAGTACAAATGTAGTTAATACTAAAGACCTTGCTCATCCCTCTGCACAAATTTGCCTTGTGGATGTTCAGTAAGCCTTAACAGGTGTCAGAAGTTACACTAAAGCAGAGATGAGGGGTTTCTTGTGTATAGAAAAGAGCTGTATGGGAATTTGTCAGCAAAATGAAAAACATTTAAGCAACAATTTAAATGTTTAATAAGTAGCGTGAGGACTGCAGACAAAGCAGCAAGTTAGATAATGTTTTCTTGACATATTGCAATATGCAGTGTCATTCTGTGGAATACAGAGGATGAGCAAGTGTATTGCATAAAGCTGGAAAAGTACTGCAGCTCCTGAAACAGCCTATTTACTGAAGAGACTTCTTTGTTTTTGAAATGTTGAGCATTATGAGCCTGATGGTTTTATTGTGCGGGCAGCCTGGAAGGTTTAGCCTCTTAAACTGAACATCTCAGGACATGAGCTGTCGTGAATACTTCTATTTGTAGCCCTCTAATAAGAGGAAGTTCTGCATGCCAAACTGGGGAGAGGAGGAGAGAAGGCCACTGAAGGGAGAAGATGACCAATGACATTTACTCTGTGCAGTGTGCAGGGGCAGAGCAAGGCGTGTGTGTCAGCTGGCTCTCACTTATGCTGTCAGGAAGAAAAGCCACCTCACATGGCAGAATGAAAAATACCTCTCCTTGTGCTCGGGAAGTGAATACAGAGAAAAATGTTGTACTTTGGCACACTTTACTGGCAGTGTTTTGTCTTGTATAATGGATATGGAGCTAAGCAAGGTTATTCCAAGGAAAATGCAAAATGAAGCTAAAGAGATCTGAAACAAAGCATCTTTCATTTTTAAGTATTGTTACAAGGGGAGAAACCCCCTAATGTACCACATTTTGGTCTTAAAGCTGCAAAATGGACTGTGTCATTGGAAAGCTAAATGAAGGACAAATAGTTCTGGCACCACACCATTTAAACAAAGCTCATACAGTGAAGACCTGCTCAAGCCTTCACCAAGCCTTCAGATAAAGCCGTCGCCTATGAATTTTACCATCCAAAAAATTATGAAAGCCACCACACATTTTCCAATTGCAGTTAAAAAGACAAGCTCCAAGAACATAGCTTTAATAAACAATTTTGACACAAATAACATTATTAAAGAAATATATTTGGTATTAGAACTGCTCTTGAGGTATTTCAATATTTACATTTCTTGTTATCATATAGTTTTAACTGGAAATTTTCATGATGCATGAAAATAACTTCAGGATTTGACATGCCTGAGAAGAGAAGAGTCACTAGATATAGTTTAGATCCATACTATACATGCAGAGAATGTCATTAAGCTAAATTTAGTTTTGATTTGATGGGCTATAAGGTTTAGACATTTGCAATTCAGCACGCATTTAGCTGAAATTTGAAGTGTACACCTGGGAGAAAAAAAAGAAGGATAAAATAATGCACATTGTCTGGACAACTAAATAGATTTGATTGAGACCCATTTAAGCAGCTAGTGTTAAACTTTCCCAAAGTTTTTGTAATTCGGCCACCGGTAGCGGCTGTTGGAACAGGTCAGGGGCTCAGGCATCTCTTGTCTCGTACTATTAGGGAGAACAGCAGGTAGCAGTCGCTGATGAAAGGGAAAGTGGAAAAAAAGGAAAGAAATTGAAGCCGTTTTCAAAGAAATGTGTTATTCCGTTAAAATTGCAGTACTATATTTATAAGCCACCACTTGTGTTGGGGGGTCTTACGCTTGCTCTTACTGAAGTCAACGACAGGCGTAGGGCTTTGAAAGGAGCGTGCTGACCCGTCTGCTGCGCACCCGTCCATCCGAAACATCTCCCTTCTTCTGGGCTTGGGTGAGGGCAGGACTTGCTTACAAAGGGGTTTCTTTGCAATTAGAAATTAACTGTGTGTAGAACTGGATAATATTCTGTGCTTGGAGACAGGGAAACACAAATCCTGGGAAAAATCTGCTGCTCTTTTTGAAGTACGTGAAATGTGATTGCCTTTCCTGTAGTACGATGGTTGCACAAAGCCTTCAGGTGCCTAAGTGCTATGCCAGGCACTGTGACATTCCAGCATATTATGCTTTATTTCAGCATGTTCTGTATGTAGCACTTAAAGCAAATGTGTCCATTTGACTAGAGTGCTTTCCATCTGGCCTTTATACATTTTGAGATGCATCTGAACTGTCAGAAAAGAACATGGTATTTTGGATATTAAAACATTTAGCTCTTATGGTGACATTTAACAGTAAAAATGTTTAAAACTATTCTATTACTGGTGAATAGCAGAAGATAAAAACCAAACACTGACTGCAATGTGAGAGCGGGAGTAATACTCGCCTAAAAGACATTTCCCGCCATAATAGAAATATACTGTTTGTGTCAAATTCTTTTCTGAAACTTCTATCTTTCATCTTCTGGAATGAATATTTTTCTCCATAAACATTTGCTAAATTGTACAAAGGTATTGCAGTGGTTTTATACTAAGCGGTTTTGGATGATATAAAATGACAGTAAAGAGGAAAACGTTGCTGCAAATGGTCAATCTTGCTGTCAGATGTACGTATGTTTATGTTTATAATTTAAAATCTGGAGGTGAAAATGGAGAAGTCCATTATTGTTTTCTCTGAAAGGGCTTTTTGGGAAATATCCCAAAACTGTTTTTTTCCATTAAAATGAGTTCATGCACTTTTTACAAGTTTCTCTATGATAACTTTGGGGGTACTCAGGAAAACCAGATGCTGTGTTGTTTCCTCCATTTTTGACAGGCTAATCAGCAAATGGTTTCCAAGACAGAGTTATTGTTTCACATCTCAACAGAGAGTAAAGTCCCTGTGCCATCCAGCACGTGAGGTCCTGGGCATGCACCACTAAAGCAAAGATTGGAGGTCTGAGAGCATTACCTGTAGATCCATTAAAAATTTTGAAAACCAGTCAGGTCAGGACAGACTTTGCTGGAAAGAGCATCGTCTACCTTGTTTCATGCAATAATTGTACCTTATTTATTTGCTCTCAAAGACCCACTATTCTAATTTCCTAAAGGTACAGATGAAGTTTGAATGTATGCAGCACAAGGAAGGAAAAAAAAGGAAAAGTTGGCTAGCCACGTTTTTGATTTTCCTTCTGAACAGCTATGGATTGAGGCCTTTTTTTTGCATGTAAGGTACACAGGAAGGAATTAAGGATAGGGTTAAAGCATATATTGGTGTTATTAAAATAATTCATATGCATATTTAAATAGTCCAGTAGTCCAATGCCCAGTTATGAAACAAATACCCACCCTAGCAAAGAGAAAATTAACAAGATTAACTTAACTGAATAAATTGGGAATACAAATGCGGACAACGGTTCTTACTAGGTTGTACTAATGGATTTTGTTTTGTGAAATATCAGCTGAGTGCTCCTCTGCAGTCAAAAAAGCAAATAAAGTGTTAGGAATTGTTAAGAAATGAGCAGAGTACAAAATGCCAGACTTTATTAAGGTCTGTATCCATGGTGAGCTGCATCTTAAATACCGTGTTTGGTGGAAAAGATGCAAGAAAAAGTGACAGAGATAAACCAAAGTTATAGAAGAGCTTTTGTAGGAAGAACAAGTAAATAGATTAGGTCTTTGGAAAAAACATGACTTGGGGAGCTAGGACAGAAAACTGCAAAACCAGACGTGACCTGGAAAGGTTTGACAGGGCACTGTCAAAGGCATCGCCTTGGCCTTTTGAAGCACGTGATCCATAACTTGCTGAGAGACTATTCTGGACAGTGTCCTTATAGCTTTCCTATACACTGCCAGACATCTGCTGTTGGTAGTTAGTTATTGGAGATAAGGGAAGGACTTTTGGTCTTTTTGGTAAAGCTTTCTGGGTAGAAGAATGTCAGAACAGATGGATGTCAGCTACCTGATTTTATTTGCCTCGTTTCATCCAGTTGTGCATCCTGAGGTTGTAATACTTTCCCAACTTTTTCATCTTTCCTGTTATTTTGAAGATTATGTTTTTTGAACAGCGATTTTGTAACGTCAAGGCAATGCTGTGATTTTAACTCAGAAAGTATGACCACTACCATCCTAGACTTCGCCTTTCTTAGAAAATACTGTGCAAAACTTGTAAAACATCCCACCGTTTTACTGACAACATTTTTAAGAAAAAGTTTCTTAAGAAGCATGATTTTGTCTTCCATAAGAATTCTGAGTAAGTTTTATGGCTTCCCAAAAACTAGAGAGAGAACAGTCATTAGCATTCATAGAGATGTCTGTATTTTACAGAACTGAGCCATTTTTAACCGTACAATTTTAGTAACCAGACACTCCCTGTGGAATGAATTTGGGGTTAGAGAAATAAAACCAAGCATGGATGGGAATTTGGCTTAAATTCTTATTTTTCTTCAGTCTTCAGGTCTAGGTGTCTCAGAAAGAAGCACAGCAACGATGCCCAAAACAGATTTTTTTGTAAACTTTAATGCTGTTATCGAATGGAAAGGACGTGTTCCACCTTAGGGCACCCTAAGGAGCTCAAGAACTGCAACAGCTGCTCTCAGAAAATGCCATATGTGCAGACCCCGGTGAATAAACTGAGCCCAGGGAAAAGACAGCATTTGTTTCCTTGTCCAGTGGATAGAGTGTCTTTGAAAGGGCAGGCTTTTGTCCAGTGGGGAACAATGGCAGGATGAGGAGTGATTGCTCTGTGGTGACTACCAACACTAATGCATGTTTTTGAGCATTAGCCTCAAATGTTATGATGTGTTACACGTACCACTTGTGATACACTAAACAAAATATCAGAAACATTCTGAAAACAATCCTATTTGGACTAGTTATACATTATTAAAGCACTAGTGTTTTACTCGATCGGCATACTGAGCTGAAGCGCTTAAAGCCCTGTCAGTGTTATGGCACTTCTGCAGTGCGCTCTGGCAGGTGATAGGTGCTGTCTGATGAAACTGCTAGGAATGTGCCGTAGTAATGCATCGGGTTTATAGTATATATCCTTGAAAAGGACACTCAGAGTGGAAATTATGTACTTAATACCCTTCCTCGTCACCAGGGGAACTCTTAGTTAAGTTTACTCCATAAACTCCTGTAAACATCTCCAAGAGAATGTGTGGGAGAATCCAGTGGACTATAGCAGGACTTATTTCTCCTTCCTGTTTTCCATTATTGTGTAGGTGGTCTTTGCTACCTCCAAAATGCCACTCTGAAATGATATTTTTCAAGGCCTTTCCTGTTTAGTAGACTAGCCTTAATGTTAGGCCACTAATAAATGGTAATACCGCCTTTGTGCAGGGCGGTGAAGGAGCTCTACAAGCTGAAAACCTGGTCAGCTGTGAGAAAGGGCATGGGAGCGATGAGTAGAGCCTTGAGAAACTACTTCATCTCAGCTCATCTGCTCAGTAATGAGCCAGAAGTAAGAGAATTAAGAATCTGTATTGATAGCTATGTCAAAGAAAGATGGGTAAAAGCAAGGTCCTGCTTTTTACAGATGCCAAAGTTGTTGGTAGTGAAGGGAATAATCTGAGTGGAAATTGTTAATAGCATCCGAACACATCTCATTTTAGATGCCTGATATAAGCCAAACACACTGACATCTTGCTATGTTCTTCCACAGGAAGGTAGGAGGTCAGACCTGGTGATCCACAGAGGTCTCTTCCAGCCTGGACTACTATGAGTCTGTAATTCCCAAAGCAGGAAGACAGAGTGGAAGGGAGGGGACTTCCAACCCAATCATAACAGGTATTGTCTAAAGGGATAAGAATATTACAGAAATAAAATTTGGTTTGATGTATTTTAGAACAGAAATTCATTTTCAGGAGGCCGCTTATTTTTTCCCTACCAGTTCTCTAAGCCTGATTTTGACCTCAAAACTGGAAAAAAAAATTACATTCTTTCTCAAGATAAATATCACTCGGTAAAGTATTTATTATCTTACAGTATTTTCAGGCATTCTTATTAAACAAAGGTCACATCCCCTCAAGCTCTGTGGGTATTAAAACTTGCTACTGACAGGCTGTTTCTTTTATCTCAGTGAATTTTGTTATCAAATAGGATGGTGACAACTATCAATAATGTCTGAGACTGTCAACATTTTTGCTCGCTTGCCACTGATTTTGCATCAAAACCTGATGATTTTGCAAATGTCGGTTCATGGAGGCTTTGATCACTTGCTCAGCTTTGCTGCCTCCTGTTCTCAGAGGGTACTCCTGTTCCCGTGGAAGTTGGTGCAATTGTAAGGTGCTGATAGCAGAGGTTATGGCAGGCCTTGATCTAAGGAGTTATCCTCATCTTTCAGTTTCATCTGTCATGATGAATTGGCTGCATCTGATGTGGGAAGAGGCATCAATGGCTGGAGGTACAATGGGTGCTCCTCACGCTTTTGGCCATGGCCCAGGAGGGTGCTCGCAGGTGCGCACAAGGGCTCAGGGCGAAGCAGGGAGCAGACAGGCTCGTTATCGAGTCGGGTGACATGGTCAGTGACAAGAGACAAATAAAGGATGTTTGTATATCATGTCATCACGCCCCGAGACAGAAAATGATGTTGGTAATAAAATATTTCATCCTAAGGACTCTCCAGAGAGATTTTTAGTAATACCAGTAATTGAAGAAAACGCCTCATCTTGCGAGACAGTGAAAGGCAGAGGTAGATTTATGTTTTAAGGACTGTACTGATGGGCATACTAAACATACTTATATACATAGCAGCTGTATGCCCATATTTGTAAATATTCATATGTACAATGGCCTGGTCTTTAAGGCAAGGCCATTCTGTGGTCAAACTTGCTTTGAGCTTCCCAGTACTAGGAGCTACTTGGTACTTTTCCAGCTACAGGTATAAAACACAAGTCAAAGACAGTGTGTTTCATAACAACCAACCTTAAGTGCTTTAGAAGGGGCATTTCAGAAATGTGCAAACAGGCAAGAATTATAGCACTCAAGATCATTATAACCTTTTCTCAGGCATTTTGTAATGTATCTGTAGGACTGCTCTGAGCTCAGAGGGCTGCGGTATTGCTGGGGGCTGTACACCCCTGCAAAGTCTTGCTCGCAGGAGGTAATCCCAGGAGGTCCGCTGCTGAGCTGTGTGGTGCAGTACAGCCAAGACTCCCCTAACCCTGTCTGCTCCATTTGCAGAACGCGAGAAGCCGCACGTGAAAGAGAATGAAATATATGATGCAGATGCTTTTGCTTTGTGTAGTGAAAGACCAATAGCAACTTATCAGAAGGATTTCAGCAAAATATGTAATTAATGATAGGTAAGTCAGGGAATTCCTTGTTTCAACAATGTGCGTAATACTAATGTTTTATAGAGGTATTTTAAGTTGTCTAATGAATAAGGCAATGTATGTTAAAAACTTCTGGTGCTATACATTTCAGATGACAACTGTTGTATTTAAAATATTAGATATTTAAAAGTAATTTTTAATTACTAAAACTAAATTACTAAATAAACTCAAATAATTATTTTTTCCTAGTCAAAGTGTTCTATGGAGAAATTGAGTTTATTTTATTTTTTTTTTTATATGTTTACAAATGTAATGACTTCAGTAGAAAGAATCTGGCCTTAAGCAAGGTTAAGCAAGATAGCAATCTGTCCCTGGTTTCAATAGATTAGATAGTATCAAATAAATATGTCATTTTTGTAAGCAGAAAGAGCTTTTTCAAAGTTATAATTGTTTGTCTGTTATTTTGAAAAATATTTGGTTTTGAAAACCAGAGCTATCCCAGCTCGAAAAAATTATAATAAAAATTAATTTTTGCTTTGGAAAGTTATTAGATTTGAAGTTACAAAAGGATTTGTAAGAGGATTTTCACCCTTACCTTCACATGTTATTCCGTCACCGCTGTATCCAGTGGGACAAGGCCCACATTTAAATCCTTCAGCTTCATCTGGCAAGCACTGCACACCAGTAAAGCATGGCATATCAGTGCAAGTTACTTTCTGATGCATCCCATGGCTGGATTTTGGCAGTTCCACATCATCCATCGCTGTGTTGTATGCCTTTCTGGCTGCTGTGGTCTGTGCTGGCAGCCTTGCTTGGGGAGCAGATCCTGGTGGGATGGTAGCCCTCAGGGGAACAGTAGCAATGGAATAGCCTATTAAATGGAAAGGGGAGCTGAGGCGTGTTGCCAGAGGAGCTACTCTCTGCTGCTCTGTTGGGAAATCTTGGGATAGTTTAGTCTTTGAGACTGCAACTCCACCAGGCCATTTCCTGGAAGAATAGCCATACTTGGAACGAGGTTTTTGAACAACATGTGGCCTTGCAAAGTATGAACTTGCATTTTTGCTGCGATGAGAAGGAATGATCTGGGTTGTCCGTGGTTTGTATTGTTTGAAAGGGAGAGGGGTATGGGTTGTCACGCTGACAGTTGTGTCTCTGGGGTCTGGCTCTTCATGCAGAAGGAAAGTGTGGGCATCCCTTCTTTTTTCAAGAAAAGATTGTTTCTTGGGTGCTGTGGGATCCAGATACTTTTTTTTTTCTGATGATATTTGAGCTTGGGAAGTTTTCCTTTTCATTGTAAGGGATGGAGTGTTAATGACTGTGGGGTTTCTTTCCAAAAAGTAAGTATTTTCTTGTCTTGGAATCTGAGTTTGGAAAAGAAGGGAATATGTATTTCTTGATGTCTTTAAAACATCTTCTTGGTGAGAGTCTCTAGTATCTTCAATATTTCTTCCAGCAATATCCACATGGCTTTGGGAAGATCTTGAAACTAAGTCAGAAAAATGATGTATGTTAGTCAACTTCACTGGTCTAGAGTTTAAAGGAACCACAGTAAACATTTACCTTATGGGCAAACAACAGAACATCAATTCTAGAAGTAAAAGAGAAACTGTGATATATACTAAAGTCACGTTTATGCTGGCTGGCATGGAAATGACATGGTGTTATATTCTGTGCGTAACAATAGGTCTGGATGGACAGAGAACTGCAATACTGAAACTCACAGGGTGGTGGTTCAGGCGCTAGATGAAATATATTTATGCCGGCTTAATACTGAGCATAAGGTAGTAAGTCTTAGTGAAGTTCAGGCATTATTCTTTGAGGTGCAGCACTGGCTTTGCAGAGGCTAAAATGCAGCCAGGAACAAACAAATGCCATGCTGGTTTACTAATTTTAGTATACACTAGCCCATGAGGCTTTGGGACTGTACACCTTTCCATGGTGCATCCCTACAGTTCTTGACCACCTGAACTAGTATCTGTTTCCTACAGTCTGTATTGCAATAGTGTGCTGGGAAATATTCTGCTAAACAGTATGTAACATAGAGACTTTACACTCAAGCTCTTGCAGTCTAGGAGTAAGATGAGACATTGCAGATATTGACCTGGTATTGGACATGGAGAAGTAAACAAATGTTAAGATGGTCCTTGGCTAGTTTGTGTCCTAGAGAGACTCTAGTCCCATAGCACTAGTGTATAAATATGGAATGCCTTTGTAGTCCTTATGGCAAAGGAAAGTTTTAGGAAAACATTTAAACGAGACAAATGGAAAAGCTTTGTAAATGCTGTGTACAGCTCCCTCCAGACGTGAGGGGCAGCATGTAAGAAAGACTGCTGTTTTGTAACTGTCACCCACTTGTTAGAAAGCCAGCCACCTTTTCAGTTGGGTAAGGAGGGATGATAGATGGGGAGAGGGTAGTCTGTGAAGGGCCTTGAAAGTGGAGACGAGTAGTTTGAATCAATACTTTCAGAAAGATTAATGGCCATCTGCTGACTTTAATGAATGGAAGAAGCTATTTTTAACCGGTTCTGGCATGCTCACTCCATAGGAAACGGAATATATTGGATCCTGAACAAAAAACCTCACTCGGTTCTAGGGTTAACCCCATGTGGGATGTACCTCTTCCTTTTAAACATAAATATTAATCACTTTCTTAAAACTTGTATTGATGTAGAAATTAACCATAGTTAGCAAAGTAAGAGATTAGGATGCATGGCAAAGGTCAAAATGGAAGTTAGAGCATTGACAAGATCAAAGCAAATTCTGGCATGAAAAGCTGTGTTCATTTGGCTGGTAAGCAGTGTCATTCTGCTGGTGGCTGATGAGTTTTTATTGTCCTAAAGCATGATGTTTTGGAATTTTACAATTTTACTTGATCAAACTATGGACATCAGTATGTAAATACATGGTATTTAGCAAAGCTGTAGGTTTGCTACAGGTTTTGTAGGTTTTGCATGGATTTTGTTGTCCAAAGTAAAGCTGGTGAATGATCAGGTACACAGAATGGAAGAAAGGAGATGGTGAAGCAGGGAGGACATCAGCAAAAAAGCATGAGGGGGTAGAGAAGTCAAAGGATTTTTTAAAATGAATGAGAGAAAGATGAAAGAAATAACCTCATAGGAAATTATCATTAATAGATGATCTTTGCTGTCTTTAGAAAATTTGATTCAGGGTGCAGAAATCAACAGGAATGACAATGAATGGCTGAATGACCTTTCTGAAAAAATTCCAAAATGAGCTTTGATTGTAGCTTTGAGCTCCTTCTACTGTGTCATAATTAAATGGGTTTGCCTCCTAAATAAATTTTAGTAACTAGTAAGAGGATCAGACTGACTATCTGAGAAGGAGAAATATTTTAATTCTGTTAGGTGATACAGGTTATATACTCATCCTCCAAACAAGCTTCAGCCTTCCCTGTAAGAAGGAACATACTATTGTTGGAGTGTATCTGTGATAATAAAGCTTTTAAATCATAGAATCATGGAATACAAGGTTGGAAGGGACCTCAGAGATCATCTGGTCCAACCTTTCTTGACAAATCATAGTCTAGACAAGATCGCCGAGCACCCTGTCCAGCTGAAACTTAAAAGTGTCCAATGCTGGGGAGACCATGACTTTCCTGGGCACATTATTCTAATGGCTGATTCTTCTCATTGTAAAAAAAATTCCTGATTCCTCTTGTGTCCAATTGGAATCTCTCCAGGAGTAACTTGTACCTATTACCTATTGGCTTTTCCAGGTGACTACTTGCAAAAAGGGAATCTCCATCTTCTTTGTAGCCACCGTTTAAATATTGGAACATAGTGATAATGTGTCCTCTAAACCTTATTTTCTCAAGACTGAACAAACTCAGTTTTGTCAGCATTTCCTCATATGGCAGGCTTCCCATTCCTTTTCCACTCATCTTTGTGGCCCCTTCTCTAGACCCTCTCCACCCTGTCCACATCGTATTTTTTCCATAGCGTGGACCAAAACCGAACACAGTGTTCCAGGGGTGGCCTGACAAGCACTGAGCAGAGAGGGATAATGACTTTATCTCTGCTGGTGATGCCCTTGTTGATGCAGCCCAGCATCCTGTTGACTTTCTTTGTCACAGCAGCCCACTGTTCACTCATTTTGAGTTTGTTGTCCAGCAGCACCCCCAGGTACCCTTCCATAGAGCTGCTCCAGGCTATCCTGCACTCCTTGATTATGTTTTCCCAGGTGCAAGCTCTTATCCTTGTCCTTGCTGAACTTCATAAAGTTCTTGTCAGCTCGCCCTTCTAGCCTATGCAGGTCTTCCTGCAGGGTGGCTTTCTCTTACGAAGTGTCCACTTCCCCACTTAGTTTGGTATCATCAGCAAACTTCACCAGGGTACACTTGACCCATCACCGAGATCACTTCTGAAGATATTAAACAGCATTGTGCCCAATATCTATCCCTGGGGTAGTGCCTTTTGTCAGGTTGCCAGTTTGAAAAGTAGCTATTCACCACCACCCTCTGGGTGCAGCCTGTCTGCCCGTTCCCCGCCCACCACACAGACCACTTGTCGAGACTGTAATGCATCAGTTTTCTAGGAGGAGGCTGTGGGAAACCATACTAAAAACCTTGGAGAAATCCAGGTGTACACAACTGGGTGAGTTATCCCACTGTGTTTCAGTTATTCCTATGATATCCTAACTTTCTGACTGGGCATGGAGCTCCAGTTCCTCCTGTTGTTCCCCAGGCTGCGTGCATTGGTATATATACACTTGAAGTGGTTGGTCTTCTGGTTCTCATCTTGGGAGGCAGCTAAGGAACATTTTCTGCTGCTCTGGTTGGCCTGGTGTATTCCCCAGTTGGTTGCAATGGCATGAGCGTTGCCACGCTGAATCCTGACCCCATCTCAAATAAGGCTACCAATGAAGAGGAGTGATATATTTTGGCTGGTTGTTCATTATAATATATACTGGTCAAGGTCTCCCATCCCCTTTGTACAGGCCAGTAAACTTCATAAGATGTTGGCATCATTCAATAGTGTTGACTTCACTGTCCTCTCAATTTTTATTATTTTAGATTTTTACTTACGGTGATACTGTGCAGTTTAGTTAGGATTAGAGTATGATAGATTTTTTTCTGGAATACCTGAAAATGTCTTTCTGCGGTTTTCCATATATCTAAATAAGCTAAAACAAAGAGTGTACCAAAAGATTGCAGACTCAGTTGTCTCTAGTCAGCAGCTTTCTCCAATTTTGTATTACTTCAACTTATTTTCCTTGCAGTCAATCCATATCTTCAAATGTATAACCCATTATCAATGCAGAAGTGTGATTGCATGAATCTGTTTTTCTCTGTGATGCTGCTGCGTGATTACATATTGGACTGGATGAAAATAACAAAAAAAAAATGACAAGGCAAAGTGCTCAAGGTTATATGATGGTACAAAAATATATTTTCACTACCTGTCAGTATTTCTGCCTATACTAACGGGAAAATGTGCAGCAGTGGAACAACTGAATTTATTTTTCACAGAGGGAGATAAGAGACCAAGAACCTGCTGCTGTTTTCCAGCTGTGCTTGGCAGGAGCTCCATTTGTATCGATGGAGTTACATCACCCTGAGCACAGTGTAATGCTGGGATGGATCAGTCCCCAAGAAGATATATTCCTCTGTGGTCCTTTATCTGGGCAAGACTAGAACAAGGGTGACAGAGGGCAAATTTCTGAGACAGAAATTTAACATCCCTCACCCAACTCAACACCAGGACACTTTCTACCTACGTGGTGCAGGAGTTCCCCCACATGAGAACCCCACAGCCTTCGGTTCGCCTGTTGTTGCAGATGTTTTGAGCTGCTTGCGCTTAGCTTATAAATCAGAATCATCATAAAGTAGCCTCTGCTTCATGCTTGCCAATGCCATCACAGTGTTGCTAAGGCACAACAAACTCTGATTTCTTCTGTCACTTGAACGGTGTTTTATAGTGAACTACTAGATATCTGTAGTTGAAGAGGATCATGTTCATTCTGTGGGTAATAAACTAGTGAAAACAGCAGTTCACAAACAGAGCAGACACTCAACTGTCTCTTAAACCCAAGGTGAGATATCAACACTGAAACACAGAAAAGAAATCCAATATATTTTCTTTCTTCTGAGTTTCTGGCTGGTTTTGCATTTACAGGCTTTCAGAAAAAGACCTCATCCAGAAAAAGATTAAAATAAATCACAACATTTTCTTGCCCCAAACATTTCTATTCCCAGAAAAGCAGCACACATTTCATACTCTGCCTAGACAGCGTGAACCAGGTTGGTTACCGTATTCCTCTGTGCCGTTCACCCAAGTCATTGCTGGTCTTAGACTTACACACCTCCACACCTTTCTTTCCAAGACATGTGCCTTGGAGACAGCCCCTTCCTAGCCTACAGCTAGCAGCTGGCACCTCAGACATTTGCCTAAGCTTCTTGTAAACATGAGTAGTTATTACCTTTAAATTGCCATGCTTCTCTTTGCAGCTATTAGGGTTAGAAATGTA